AACAGAAAAATGTCCTCTCACACTCTTGCCACCTCTCCCATTCGTGAGCGTTGATCTATTTGGTGATTTCGACATCTTGACATTATTTGACTGGTGAAAGGAAAGAGATTAAACAGATGTCCACTTAAAAAAAAAATCAAACCAAGGATTTTGCAATAACTTGAACATGCGTTCACTATCCTGTTCATACTCAAACGGGGCCCAAATATTTCCAAAATATTGGACATTTAGAGGAGTTTCTTCCAACGTCTGACAACTGAGATATTTAAAGTCCAGTTCCATCATGCAAACTTTATCCTGACATTAACAATTGCTCAGCCAAAAATGCTAAATCAGTTATACTCTTCCTCAGGTATGTGTCAGTCAAAGTAATTAACTTCTAAGGCAAAAGTTTCTCCAATGGGCTGCTCCGAGTGAATAAAACTCACGAGATAATTTAAACAGATGAGCAGACAGAGCTCTCTGATATCTGCGGAGAGATAAGACTGTTGAAATAATGGACTTTAGTGGCAGCTCCTAAGCTTCATGATGAATGAAGCAGGAGTCATCTGGTTCTTTCATCCTCTTGTCATTTGGCTTTTACGCTCCCTTTTTGCCTATCACCTTCTGCTCCTTCGCTTTCCCAAAAAAACTACGACTTTGGATAAGTTCTGCTGAATTATCCATGTCATGGATGCAGATGTTTTCAGCCAGAGACGAGGCTCTGTGAAAAAAAAACACAAAAAAAACCCACTACAGTAGGAGCTGCAGAGGGCCAGAAAGGCAAAGGGAGAGCTGGAATAAAACCAAAAGTCAAGTGAGAATTCAGACAAAAAAAGAAAAAGAAGAGAATGTGGGCAGCACAGAGCTGATTTTGTTCACATCTGAGCACTGTTGTGAATGTGTGCGCCCTGGATTTGTGTGTCTGTGTGCGTTGTGTGTGCGTGTGCAGCCAGGGGGGGCCTCCCGTGCAGCTACTCAGGAGCCACTTGGATTTTGGATGAACGGCATTTCATTTAAAAGAGACTGGCTGCAAAAAGCCTGGTTTGACTGCTTTTCGAAAACAGCCTAGTGTTATACAAAAAAAAAAAAAAAAAAAAAAAAAGCCAAAAACCCCTGTGCCGACAGAAAAGCAGTTCCAACTCTTAACGGCCCCCTCCAACCCTGGGAACATACACACAGCCATATCCGTCCACTGTGTAGTTAAAACAGAAGTGGGCGACTCAAAGAAGCCTTAAAATCAAATTAGGATGAATAGAGTTATCAGATTTAGCTAGAATCCAAACGATTTGACGGGAACATTTCCGCGTTTGATGCGTCTCTCTAAACTTTCCCCGTAAATGCTCCTTTTCTTTTCCTTCTCCCTCCGTCAATATCACCCGTTCTTGTCCTCCTTTCCTCTGACATTTACGAGGAGGCCACGGTGAGGTCTGCAGAGGGTAACGGCCATGAAGTCTGACACACCTCCAAAGGTTTTTTCTCAATAACACACACACGCACGCAAATAAATTGGCCATTAGGGCACCGCTGCGTCATTCCCGGTTTTTTTTCCAACCGGGAAAAGGCGGAAACGCGGCAATGTAAGCGCTGAAGAGACTGGAATTTATTACAACACTTGAGTGATATGAAATAACAACAGCTAATGCTAATTTCCATAAAGGTTTCGGTCCGAAGTTCCACTGTGAGCTTCACTTGTTTTCAGCCAATCTCGGAGACGTGATGTTTGAAAGGCAAAACTCCGTGCCCCTTCCAAATCTGGCTTTGGAAATTAGGCAGTTGTTTTGGATGGTAGGAGAATGACTCATCTCCCGTCTTTTTCTCATGGTGTTCAGGGCCGATGGAAAGTTTTCAGATTTTTCCACATTTTGTTTTGTTTCAAGTTCATTTTGAATTTGATTGACTTGACTTTTTGTTGAAATAATCAATCAACGTCTACACAAAAATTCTACCGAACAGCAAAACAGAAAACAGGTTTTGAGTGTTTTTGAAAGCGAGTCAAAGCTAAAAAGCCGAAATCTTTTCATTTAAACCCTTCACTTAGACCCGAGTTAAACATTTCTGGCAGCGACACAACCTTAAATTTTCTTTTGCATGACACTTGGCACACCTCCCACTTGGACCTCTCTCTTATTGTTCTTGGTAGAAAAACATTCGAGTTCAACCAGACTGGAGGCAAACATTAGCGCGCAACCTTTTCACAACCTTCAACTCTAATGAGTTCAGGATCTAGATTCTGCCTTTGCCACTCCAGAGCCCAGATACACAAACAGTGCTTACACACAAAACCCACAAGTCCACCCTTTCCTGTACACAAACGACTAATCATAAAGAAAGTAGTCGGAATGTACAGATCTCCGGTTCTCCCACCCGAGGATGCCAAAGGTTTGTCAAAACCAATTATACGAGTTGGAAAAGGAAAATAAACTGAACTGAAATGTTCCCCTCATTTGGTTTCTCCCAATCAGTTTTTGTATTTTTCATTATTTACAACAGTTTTGGGGCATCATTCCTGCTCTAGTTCGACTAAAAGATGAGAAAGAAGTGCATGGCAGTTCAAATTTGTGGTCAGATAGTTAAGTCTTGGTTTCATCTGAAAGTCTTTAAGTCTCTTTTCATCCATTTGCCTCTTGGCATCACTCTGCCATGCGCCTTTCATTGAATAAGGGCTTCTGTATGACCACTTAAAGAGTTGGTCAGGGGATTGTTGCAATGATGGTTGACCTGTCAGGTTCTCCCACCTCCATAAAGAAACACTGAGTTAAATTTATGGTGGAAACATGCTCTGTGGTTACTCCTGTTAGCTAGAATATTCTGGCATAACTCAGTTTTATCCAGATCGATCCAGACTTAGGACTTCTTTGGAATTGCGGTAAATACTGTCGTTTTTTTGTGTCGTTCTCCACATTTTGTGGACACATTCCCTTAAAAAAGGTCAATAGACAATCCTCTCATCACTCATGACTTTTTGTGGTACTTTGTCATCCTCCATTAGCTTTGAGACCCTTTAGAGGGAGCTGGGAACATCACGTCCACTTCGAATTCTTCTCATGTGGACGGTTGCCATGTTGCAGAAGTACGTTCAGGGCCACTGAATGGTCGGTGGCCAACAGTAATCCGAAGTGTTGGCCGTGTTTCGGCTTTGCAAAAGCTTGTCAAATGCAACCCGCGAGGTATGAGCTGACGGATCTCTGTTTTCACACGTTCCTGGCACACAGTGCAGTCAAAAATCTTCCAATATGGCGTAATAAGAGTTAAAATGCATATTCACACCGTTGAATATGGTTCATAGTCATGTTGAATAAGCCCGATTCTCAGTGTTTTAACATGGTTACAAGCACTGAAAAATGACACATCTCAATAGTAAACAACACAAACATGTAGTGTGTTTAAACTATTGTTGACAAGGTCCTTCTTTGCTTGTTTACTTTGAGAAGCAGGCAGATTCTCACTACGCCTTCCTCAAAAAACATCATGATGACCTAAGTGTTTCCAAAAAAGGACAGATTTACTTCAATGTCTTGTAGTAAAGGCGACTTTGTTTTCCATCCTTTTCATGATGATCAACTGCTTCTCATTTTCTTCACGGGCACAAGTTTTTAAGTAAAAGTTTTTTAATCTACAAAATCTGCACTCCTGAAGCCAAACTTATCAGGGCCTTGATCAGGGATGATGTCAATGAACAGGACCAAAGGCTGTGAGTTTATAATGGAATATTCTACAGTGTGGATGAAGGGTAGTTTGGGGAACAAAGCCACAAAAAAAAAACAAAAAAACAAGAAGCCAGCTTTTCAAAGGCTTCCGTCATGGTTTTGCTCCTCTGCCTTTAATGTAGCCGTGTAAAAGGTCGAACTTGTCACGCTTCTAAAATGCTGTGACAGATGTAACTTTCACCTGGGAATCAGGTTAAAACCTGTCGCAGATGTGCAGAGTTTTTGGATCGGGAGCAGGAAGCCTGAAGGAGCTCATTGATACACTGCACTCAGGAAAAAGGATTTCACAGCTCAAATAAAATAAAAAAAAGAAATCTGGCTGAAAAGACACAGAAGCAGCGGTGGAGTTTAAAGGACCACCAGCAGCTTAAATGCGATGCTAAATAGCTGTTAAATCATTTAATTGAGCTGCGACTCCTTCAATTCAGAGGCTGGAGCTCAGGTAGAGCTTCAAGAAACTAAACTAAACCAGAACAGACAGTTTAAGAGGAGCTAATGTTTCAGGCCACATCCCCGAGCTACGCTTGAGACTAGCTAAATTAGCTTTTATGATCCATTTGCGTACGTGCGCATGTGTGTGTCCTTCAACACAAGTTAAACTTGAGAAATGGTAGATGCCGTCTGCATTTGTGCTACGAAGGCAAAAGGAAGACAATATTTGTGCTTTCTTGACATGTACGCTGCATAACAAGCAGATTTGTGGACTCCCTTCCTCTCTCTTTTTCTCTTTCACAGAGGCTCAGATAATGACGTGGTCGTCTGGAACAGCTGGTCTTCCTGGGAAAGGCCTTGTTAGTACAAAAGCCATCGATCAGAGATGTACTGGCAGAAGAGCAGTACGTAGACAAGAGTGCTTTTTCAGCAAGTGCAACCATAGAAAACATGGAAAAAAAGTATTTTTTTTTATTTAAAAAGGAGGCAAACCTGGCAAATCAATCGCCAAAACTGCTGCACAGTCTAATTTAAACATAATAACACTTCAAGAAATAAATAAGCATCTGGATATCTATCATTCAGCATCGTGCTCTGCTATCAGCGTGAACATCAGCTATTTCTGCTACCTCAAACAGCTCTGCTTCCTCAGCCAAAAATAGTTTTTTTCCAAAACACGAACAGTGGGTGTGATGCACACTGGCTGTGTCCAGGAATGTAGAAGGAGTCATTTTCTCTTACCACAGTCATGAAAAAGGAGTCTTTAATCCCCAACAATACACACACTCACCAAAAAAACTCAACTGTTACCAGGATTTAAAACTCATTTGACAAAAATAATAATAACTTACAGGTAAATCTACCCTAAAAGCATCCTACCTGCCAGGCAGAGGCCAAAGATGGTGAGAAAAACCAGGATGTAGAGGGAAACGATGGCGTATTTGATAGCTGAGAGGGAGTTCAGGTGGCTGCAGCACTGGTCCTGCTTCCTGCGACGCATTCCAGACACTGAGCAGAAGAAAAATGAAAATGAAATGATTTTGTCTCAAACAAAATAGCTTCTCTAAAGTGTCTATGATTGCGGCACAGCAGGATCAACAGTTAATAGTCATCTAATGACTGTGCTCAGTAAATATTTGTATGGAAAATCCCTAAAGTGAATCTGCTGTCGAGTCAACATGCTGAAGGGAAAACAGTTTTACATAGACAAGAAGTTTATTTTTTTAAGAGGAAAATATATGTGTACTTCCAGTCTAGGGTTCAAATACACTCCTCAAGTAAGTAGTATGGCCGATTTTAAGCTATCGTAATTGTTGTTGATGATCTTCTTCCAGCATGGCATATAAGATAAAACAAAAACTAAACGAACAGAAAACCCAGCAGCTCTAATTTATTGGTGGCTTTTCAATCTTAACACCCAGCTAAGATCAGACGTTGTCCAGACACATTATGGTAGCAAAATCATGGCAAAAAAAACCTCAACATTGACCCAGTTATTCACAGAGAATACATCATAACTCACACAGCGTAGTGTGTTACACGACCTGCGCGCACTCGCCGAGGAGCTGTTTGGATAATTCATGTCACCACTTAACGGTCCTCTCGGGGTCAAACAGATGCTGGAGAATGAGCCTTGATGAAAACTGACATTAAAGTGCATTAAATGAATAATGGAAAAGCCGTTTCTTTGTGCATGTGTGAGTGACATAGAGCTCAAAGGGATTCGATGAAGATGGTGTTGATGCTGCTGATGGAAACTTTCCCCTCAGGTCAAGGAGAGATTTCCTAAGGTTGACTTCTTTCACCAGCCGGTGCCGTAACGACCAAGACTGAGGTTTCATTGGTGTTTTCATCCATCTGTCTTCTACTGGTTATCCCTGACCAGGTCCTGACGGGACGTATCAAATATCCAGGGAGGAGCATGGAGGTCATCCTCCTTAGAAACCTAAACCTACTCAGCCACCTTCTGTTGAAGCTTTACTCTGAGCCTTTCGCCCTGTCCCTTAGAGTGAGTCCAAACATCTGAAGGCTTACTTCAGCTGCTTCTATTCACAGTCACTTCGTTTTTGTCGTTACTCAAATCCAGAATGACCCGCAGAATCTCCGCCGCTTGGGACTGGGGCGGGCCAGGAAAGTCTACCTTTTCCAGCTCTGAAGGGACGCGGACAAACTCAACCAACCGACTTCCTTTGGTTGTGCGATACCCAACTCTCCCAAAGCACAATTGTGAGCTTTCTCCAAGTCCTCAGAACACATGGAAACAGGCTGAAGTTTAACCATCTGCTGGACTCTTTTCCCCAGCATCCCGGAATAGTCTCTCTGTAGCTGTAGCCCTCTGGTCCACCAAGCATTCCTTTTCTTCTCTTAAGGAAACGTACACTTGGATTTTTTATTTTACCACTACTTGCATTTGACTAATCGAACACGAAGGTTAACAGTTGAGATACAATCGTCTGGACTCTGGTGTTAAGAAAGTCCAACGTCGTGATGGACGTCGCATCCACCGGGATACCGTGAAGTTTTAGATTGTGTCTTAGCCCCAAGTCCCAACGCTGGACGGAGTCCGAGTATGAAATGCAAACACTCGGAACAGCATGCTTTCATTTGGAGCGTGATTATCCATCAGTGGATGCTGGCGGACTGTAACTGATGCACAGAGACACACACTTCCCCTCTGTGATGAGGAACACACTTTACTCCAGTGTAAGACAAACACAGCTGGCTCAGCTGGATATATGTGTGTGTGTGTGTGTGTGTGTGTGTCACATGGCTGGAATGCACCATATAGAAACAGAACTGGTGCCTTTTAGTTAATTCATGCCTCACTTCAAAGCACACTCGATGAAGGCAAAACATTGTACTGCCTTATTTATTAGCTTAAGAAATGGAACCACAAGCAATCACCAGCCCATATCAACTTGTATGAATATCACAAAAGAAAAGCAAAAAAGTATAATATCAGTTTTCTCTTTCTTGTTCTGTATATTCTCTGAACAGGGCCTGTAATGCCTCTAGTGATTAAGAAGGACTTTATTAGAACCTCCAACCATCCATTCTATATATACTGTAGGTTATCCATCCATTACAGGGTTTTACTGCATCAAAGACAAAAAGGTGCATTTATCTGACCAAAACTATGATCTGTGACATTTACCATTTTTTCACTACGATGGAATTTTGCCTCTATATCAGTAAAATGAATGCAATCCACCAAACAGTCATTATTTCGTAGGTGAGTAATTATTAAAAAGCTAGGCGTACTTAATAATATATTAAGATGATTCATATCTACTGTTTTGTGTAGTTCTACAGTCTTGGATAGCCAACACTTAATTGGATGAAATAGTATACTGACATCATAAGGAGAGAAGTCAAAGATTTTAAGTTCTTACCAACGAATGTATCTGAAGTGCTAGCCTCATTTGATGGTCCACAAAGAGCAAAAAACATATGAAGAATCTTGTATCATATCTTAGATATGAGAGCCAAATCAGTTTGAAATAGTTAAGTCAGGATCCAGTGACGGGAATTCTTAGTAATACTTAGATAAATACAAGATAAAACTCATCTATTATCCATGGGTCAGCATTTTTAATCCACGACTAATCATATTTCCTCCGGTCTCTTGCGAGATGCGACTTCTCTTGTTGAATGAGGTCTGAAACAGATCCAGGATTCGGGGAGTAGGAGCAGCCGTTGTTAGCGAGCGAGGCCAAAGACTTTTCCAGAGTCAACAACCCACCAGTGGTGGTTCACTCAGACCTTCACAGCGATCGGGCCCAGTCTGGGCTCGAAACCTGAGAATATCAAAGTGGTCAGCTGAGGGTTTGTGCAGCTGCACCTGTCCTCTCATACACACACACACATGCAGATGTATCTTTGGAGATGTTTCTGGCATTGGTGGACAACGGATGCCATAAGATGATGACATCACCTCTTCCTCATCCGTGTGTTTTAGTGGGTTTGGCTGAGTCTGTGTTGCTTATCAGTGTGTGGGCGTTTCTGTGGATGCACAAATGGTTTTGTAGAAAGCCCCTTCAGAAAAGTCTGCTAAAACATTTTTACCCCCCCCCCCCTCTCACTCCCAATCTCCTGCTTCTGTTGCCAAGAAGAATTAAAAGCAGCTGTTGTCATTGAGAACAAACTTCTGGGATGAGCTAGGAGATATTGCGAGATGTTACGAGCTCTTAGAATCAGGTCAAAGTTTCAGTTGCTTTTGAAAGAAAGTCTGAAAGGTGAACACAGGAAGTTGACGATCTTAACTCACCTTCATCGCACAGGTTGAGCTTGGACAGGTTCCGTCCGTCGTAGGCTTCTTCATACATGGAGGTGCTCTCTCTCTCGTCATTTGTGCTCAGATACATGGCTTTGTTTTCCATCTCCTCCTGAAGACACACGAGAGCCAAAGCAGCCGACGTGAGACAGTTATAGGATACAAATGCTTAGAAAATGCAATTGGTGTCCCAATTTAAATCTAACCTGGACTTGTTGGTTTATCTGAGTGGACCAGAGCACCTGACTTGTCCTGAAACTGGGCTTAACAACCCCTTAAATCCATGTGTTCTTTTCTAGACTTTAACTTTTTCTTTTTTTTTAATGAAACTTGAAAAGAAAAAAAACTGTATTATTCCTCCTGAACTCTCTGACGATGCTCTGGAGGCCCACAAAATAGTGCATAAAGTCACAATTTGAAAACACAGTTAAAGTGATCCGGAACATTTGGTTTTTACTGTTTTGCACTATCGAGACTGCCACGATAAACATTAGGGGGGATATGCTTTGTTAATGACGGAGCACCCTCGAGGTAGAATCGGCCCCCACAGGTAGGCTTGATCATTTTAGTCCACGGCTCCCCGTTCAGTGGACCAGCTGTGAGATATCTGACCATCCCTGCTCGCTCGGCCAAACAACACGCACAGCTCCAAGCTAAACAAACAGAAGGAAATCCTTGTGGTGTGAGGATTGTGGGTGTCTTCAAACCAACGTTATGTGATTTGTACATCGGCCAACGGAGCTGGAGAGGAGATGTGTTTTAGCTCCTTTCCATCTGTCCGCTCGGCTTTTCAGGAAGCCATTTTACAACAACTATGAATTAACGTGCATAAAACTCAGAATAGGTCATTTCCCAACTAGCCTTGGGAAGCGCACGGACGTGGCCACCGCATCAGAAAGTACGGCATCGGAGGGAGGTCATAAAACCAGCTCCGGTGCCAATTTTCCAAAACACGGTGGAGGATTTCAGTGTCACACTGGAAACGGCGACTGAGCGCGTACAGCACGGGTAGCCATACTGCTATGATCTCACCTGATAAAACGCCGCATCTGCTCCTTCATTTCCTACCACATGTCTAGGTTGCAGTGGAACCACAATAAGCAAACTTTCTCCAGACCCTCTCAATGGAAATAAAGACGTGAAATTACCCAAAACCCCTTCCTGGAGGACCATCAAGGTCCTGCTCAGCCTGTGTTCCTCCTAGCTGCTCAAACAGCATGCGAATAAATTTAAAAGAAATCCATAAAATAAAAAAGATGAACACTGACAGGCTGTAAGACGCGGCATCTAAACTGTCAGTGTTCTCAGGCTGATTTTCTGCAAAGATCCTGTTACTTTTAACAGCTGTATCACCCTAAGTGCAATAAAACGGTCCCAACCAGTGGCCATGAAATGCTGCATAAAGACAGTAAATCTCTGCATATGTTAGTGTGTGTGATGTAAATAGGGAGGATACCAAGCAATCAGTTGGTCTGCTGATGGGTCAGAGTGTGAGCGGCTCCCCTGGTGATACTGTGACAGCTGCAGAGGGGGAGGGTTCAACTCCTATTTACCTATTTAACCCCTTTTGTTACCCTGAGTGTGAAAGAGCCGGTAGGCAATACCAACCCTGAAGAATGAAAAAAATCACATTTGGCTGAGAGACAGGAAGACGAGGCAAAAGTCGAGGGCTGTCTCAGAAAAGCTCAAAGCATTGTTAAACATTTAAAAACATTCGGACACATCGATGTTGCCAGATTTCTGTGAATATTAAAGCTTTAGTCTTAGGTGTAAGGCATCACCAAGAGAAAGAAAACCAAATAAAAACAACAACAAAAAAAGATTATAAGCAGTAAAAAAAAAAGAAAAAAAAGCAGTTTTTGGTCTTTGTGGTTATTTTAGGGGGAAAAGCTCCAGGAAAGTCCCAGTCCTTCGTAAATCTTTAATTTCTCATTGAAAGAATGCAACGACTGTTGACAAACTAATTGAAAATGCACAGAAAGTTTTGGCAGAGCTGGCTATTGTATTACAGCTAGGTCCTTACGTCCCACCCCAGTCAGTTCGGTCCCAATTGATTCATGCACGCGTGAATTTTAAGCGATTTTACTCCGATTGATGGAACCAGCAGCATCCCCTCCTCACCCAGAGCAGTTTGGTGACTCATCTCTGAAGTTCACTTCCATCCAGTTTCTTACAGCTCTGTCACAAGCACCAACTTTTAAGACATCTTTCAATTCCAGAGTGGTGAACTCTTCTTTGGACGACCTGAATGTTTCCTTTGTTTCCCCCCCGTTTTCTACAGATTGTGGACACAGCTGCGAGTGAGCACCGCTTGTCCAACTGCACGTTGGATTATCTCCTTAGAGGAGTTCTATAGTCGCCATTTGCACATGCGGCTCTGGCCGGGGCAACGTTTTCTGTCCACCAGCCAGGTGCAACAGCTTGTTAAACCCTGAAGGCACTCTCGTTCAACTGCCGACACATTTGTGCGTTTAGATTTTCGTGTAGGCATTGGTTGTAGACCTGAACATTATAAGGCGATTTCATATTTTAACCCTCATCATTTTTGTAATGAAAAACAAAATTGTAACAGTCAGAAAAAGAGTTGTTTTTAAAGGTTTTTACCATTTTAAACTAGTGGTAAAAAACAAAGAATAGTACTTTGACATATATCTAATATTTGGTGAAGCTCAAACACAGAAACTTCAGACAAATCAAGAAGACAAACTAATCTCATTTAGGAATGATTTTTAGGAGTTGTAACTCCAACAAGGTGGCAGGTGTTGCTCAGTTACATGTTCTCTGCCATGACAAACGCAAGTTGTGAAGTCCTACGAGTCCTGCTTTTATACGAATCTTTCATGCTCCTGTACCTGAGACCATTTACTCAGAGCCTCCAGTTTTTGCTGGGTTTCCCACGCCACATATGAGTGACGGGGAGCAGGAAATAAACGGATAAGATCTGGGGCACGGAGCCTACGGCGGACAACTCAGAGGGATGAAATGCAAAGCGCTCCAGTCGGGAGTCTTCTGCGAATATTTGAGAAAGTGGTTAAAAACCGTTCCGTCAGGACTTTCTCATTAAAGAGAGGATCGAGGGGTCAGGTTGACATTTGGGCTCGGCGGGAACCATTAGGGCTGCTAGGAGATCCAACAAAACACTCCACAGCCATGTGTGTGTGTGTGTCTACAGGCGGGCGTGGAGTGAGTTATCTTCTAATTGCTCGAACCTTGATGGGATAAAACTCTCGTCATTAAGTTGGCAACGCCGTGCCAGCGGAGGACGGTGGGAAAGCAAAGCCATCAACGTCTCACTCTCATCAGCTCTACAACTTTAGTCACCGCTCAACGTGATGGAGAAGGGAATGGAAAAACCCTGAAATGTAGAGAAATTCAAGCAGCAGAGGACTCATTTACGGCAGTTCTGCCCAACAGGGGAATTTGGAGTCTAAACTAGACTATTAAAGGCATCCATTCCAATTTTATAAAATCTGGGTTACTGGGTAAGAAGCAGTATGCAGCGATCTTTATCTGATCATTTCAAGTCCATGTCTAAGTGTAAATAGTACGGAAATATAAGTCAAAAACCAGAATCTGTGAAAGTACAGCAAATGAGTACTGCAGCTTTCACATCATCACTGCTAAATGATCTAAGCAGCTTCTGGAGAACCTGTCATCAAGATGGCGGACTCTTTATACCCTCAACATGTCCTTAATTTAGCAATATAACACACAAATAAACACAAAACACACTGTATGCGTGGTACAGCTCAGTGGATTGAGAGTTACTTAGGGGTGGTAGTGGGTGGGTAGGTGGGGGGGGGTTCACAGGTGTTACAAAGATTCAGATGTCTGGTATAATTTGTGGAAATACTCTATCGTGTTAATCCAAATGTCACATGAAGGCAGCTTTAACTTTGGAACATAAGCTAGAACAAACTTCACGACAATCTATTGATTTAGAGGCAAAAAGGGGCTGTGAGATTGTTTTGTTTTGTATGAGAACTTGGTGCACCCAATCCTGACAGGATCATGTTATTCCACCAGTAGAACGCTGATCTGCCAGGATGTGGGAAAAAAAAAAAAAAAAGAAGTGTCCTGGTACATGTATGTTGGCTAATAGAGCCCCTGGGCCCTGTGTTGTTGTGTAACCCCTCAGACTCTTTGTTGCTTTAGCTGGGCTGGTCCAAAGCTGATTTTTGGGAAGACCTTTCAGAGAGTTAAAACAGACAACCTATCAACTCTTTTTGTTTCAACAGTTCACTGCTGAAATGTGCCAAAAGTTCCTATTAGCATATTCAGAGGGTCAGTTTACAGGATAGTCACCCATGAAGGTGGGTGATCCGCTCTCTTTCCTCTCAACATGAGAAGCCACAATCATCTTGCAATTTGTCCCCAGCAGGGCACCCAGTTGTTGGGAATGAAGCTTTGTCTGTGGTCTCTAATGGTAGGTTTGAAGAACTCATTTTCAGACGTAAAATTCACATATAGAAGCATTTGAAAGCACCATATCATCACACACAGAATGACAACGCTCTGTGTTATTGCTCACTCATCCATGTGCAACATTAACCCATTTTTTCCGCCCAATTAAAGAGATCCTTCACCCATGACCGCCGAAACACAAAATAACATTTTTTCTGCGGGATGAGTTCCATTTAAAATGTGAATTTCCTGTCTATTGTGGCCACCGCTCCAATAAACGGCACGCCATAAATCAGCTATTTAACTTCCCATTCATCCTAATTGCAATAAAAATTTAACAGATGTCGACACGTTTGCCCACCCCTCTAAAAGGTCAAAAGTTTAGCTTGCCCTGAGGTTTTGCAAAAGCTGCAGCCTGGTTTTCTGGTTCACACGCAGGGAAAGTACCTGAACACCCCATGAATCTGACACTCTGACTATTACGCACAAGGTTTCAGAAAGTTGTTAATAACCACTTGGGAGCTCATTAAAACCCCCCTAACACTAGATCCTGCATGTTAATTGAATAAACAGGTGATCACAGGTGCAGGTTGTGATTGGTCCTCTGCGTTATTCCAGGTAAGTTGTGATCTCAGAGGTGTTCCTCTCTCACCTGGTCAGCTGTCACTCGGATTGTCACGGTCACAGCTCCGCGTTCCTCATAGTTTCCCCCCTCAAAAGGTCTGTAGGTCCTCTGTAGGTCCCTCTTGTTCCGTCCAGCAGCTCTGGACTCTGCAGCAGGACGCGCGGGAGCGTGCACGGGACAGCAGCTCTGGAGTGAGGGGCTCCTGCGCGCACATGTGGAATATAATATACACGCGCTGCATCGTCACATGACCACCACAAATAAGTTGTCGCTGGAGGTTTTTGCTCAGCTGTTGGGTTTCCCCCGGATTGGAGATGAGGAGCAATTTCCGTGGTAAAGCGAGAGCGCCCTCCTGTGGAGATGAGTGATATTCCACTAACTTTGAAAAGGCATTCTTTGCAGAACAGATACGTATTGGTCGTCTGATTTGCTTCTGAACAGCAATAAAGGTAGTTTGGAGACAAAGGGAGTCTCTACCACTTTATATTACACTCTGCAGGGACTGATACCTTCAGGGAAACTCGGATAATTGACGGATTCAGGCAATTAATTGGAATCACGCTGACACTGCACTGAATTGCTCAAAGCAGTTCAATTTGGGGTAGTCCTAAATACCCCTAAATACCTCCACTCAAACGTGTAATACTGGCAACATTCAGAGTTGTTTCCACACCTGGATATCAAGGCACATAACGAAAACTCATTTGTAACATTTACTGAAAGCATAATTAATATGGAATTATTTTTCCACTTCAACAAAACCAATACGATTATATCTTATTTAAGAAAAACAACACCAGTCAGATCAAATCCGTCTCAGGTAACATGGTCCTAAAATAATAATAGAAAGAAATGTATGAAAAACAACTACATCGACTCATCCTGAACATTTGTCTATTTTCTAAAGGTGTTTCAGTGTTTGTTGACGCTCTTGAAGGCATCAGGAAGGAGTGGAGAAAGGGGGCGGAGCCTAACGGGGGCACTTACCTGACGCAAGACGTTCACGGGCCGTACAGGTACACAGAAGAGGGGCCGTAGCAGCTGGATCGGAACCGGGCTGGAGGTAAGAACGAGTAATCAGTGAAATTAAGAACACATTGTGTGGATTTCCATTGTGTTTCCATAGCTACGCTTTGGGTGTTGGCTGTTGTTGAAAAACAACGCGCCACACCCTCTTTTTTACTCCACACAGAAAGAACGGAGCACCCTAAGTTATGGCACTTTGGCTATTCTTTCATTCATCTTCATTCATCTAGTCTAGAGGGATACACACAATTTAAAAAACACAACGAAAACCTTTTACATCAGCAGCTCTTTACGACAGAAGCCTGAGACAATGTAGTGAGTTACCCATAGACAAGTTAACACACCTTCAACCAGTAATTAGTTCAAATTTCCTTTTTATTTAAAGTTGCTCCATGCTCCAGAAACACATGATATCTGAAACAGAACCTTTTTTCTCTGTTTTTACCTCCTAAAGGTAGATGTAATTCTGCAAACATGCCACAAGGAAGCAGGATTTCACCTTGGGTTGTGTTTTGCTCAGTTTGATCTGCATTTGTGTAAATTTGTGAACGCATGACAGCGATCCCATTTAATCTGGGGGGCTGTATTTCTGAGTTATGGATCCAGACAAGCCATGAAGCTGAGTTACAGCTCAGAAAGGAGCGGCTGTCTTTAGGTAATTCTTGTTTTTGGAGTATTATCGTTTCATTCCTCCTTCATGACACCTTTTGGCCAGCAGGGGGCAGCACCACCTGCCATCAGCTGCTTTCCTTTTAATATTTTAAACACACGAGTTTGAGTCCAGGATTACACATAAACTAATAAGTTTAATAAAGTAGGGGAGTTACAGACTGTAATAATCTTTCACGCAGGCAGTTAAAAAAAAGCCAATTTTCCACTCTGCTTGTTGTTGCATATTGCATTTGTTTACAAGCCTGAAACGGCTCTGAGCAAACGGGATAGGCTATATGTATATATGTGGACATGTAGTGGCTTTATGCCCCAATATTTATACCCCACAGACTCCTTTCCCTGTCTCTGCACTGGTCACTTTTCTGTATGTCAATTACTCCACTGGGGCCTCGTTACTGCCTCGGCCAATGGCACACGCCCCTTAATTAACTCAGGAAATTGCATTCCCGTATTTACAACCTCATAACCAGACCGGCCTGCCGGAAAGGTCACATCAACAGTTTAGCTGTTTTTTTTTGTCCTACCGTGGTGCGACCCTGGAGGATTTGACTGGGAGAAAAGCCAAAGGAAGACAAGTCGACTTTTTAAAAACTTTCTGGACATCGGCTGCTGTTACACTCAGTCGGGTGTTGCCATCATCAAATTAAGTTCTGGTAAATTGACTTAAAAGGAAGAACAGCAATAAATGACACCACGCATCAGTTTCATTTAGTGTCAAATTTCTAGAACTCTAACTATACTGTTAGAGGTGTTCTACAGTGTTAAACTCAAAAACTAAACTCAAATGAGTTGTTTGTCAGTGATTGCACCTGAGATCAAATTTGAGATTTGAACTGTTAATAATCACAGCCTCTTGAAGTAATGCAGGACTGTTGTCTACCTTGTTTTCTTGAAAACATCTCATTTTGATATTTCCTTTTGTTATCTGAGGAAGAAGAAAAGAACCCTGACGGTTAAATATTCATTTCTCACATGCTGCTCATACTTCCTGAACCTAATTTGGGGTTATAAATACAGTTCTAACATTTGTTAGAAATTGAAAGGAGCCCTTGAAGGCGGCATCACATCTACAGCTCAGTATCTACAGTTGTTTAACCAGCGTTGGGGATCTTTCTCTTTGTAATTTCTCTTGTCTCGGGCTGTTGTTGCTGTTTCTCAGGACGATGAGCGTGTCTAAGCGGGCGTCGACGTGGACGGTGGAGGAAGTTTTGGACTGGCTTCAGGAGCAGCATCCAGAACAAATGAGCACGCTCCATAAAGCCGTGCTCAAACACGACATCTCAGGTAAAACCCGTGTAGTAAAGATATCTCGTCCGATGTTAAGCATTTTGTTTCCAAGCGGATGTGGACATGCTGTGATTTTCGCTCTCTCTATAGTCAGGATTTATTCACCCAGGCTGTGGATTACTTTGCAGGCCGCGCTCTGCTGAGGCTGAGGGAGCATCACCTCAGGCTTCTCGGGGTGGAAGACGAGGAGCGGCAGCAGGAAATATTGCAGGACCTCATGCTCCTCAAAGTTCAGGAGGAAATCAATGAACTCAGCGACATCTGCTCCGGTGAGAATACCAAATGACTTCATCTCCAGGTTGTAGCCGAGCCAGACACTCATAAAACAGACATAGAAAAAAGGTTCTTCTTGGACAGCTCTTTATGCTTATTATGGTAAAAGGAAAAAGACCACTGAGTGTCAGTATTCATCTGTCGTGTTTGTTATATGCGAAAAAGTAGAGTGATTTGGTGCCAACATGCACGGATCCAACAGTTTAATGACACAAAGGCAAAGTAAAAACACATTATTATCATATTTGATTCAACATGGGGAATTTAAAAGTATGTCCGTCCCATCAAAATGTCAGCTAACTCCCGTGTCTCTTCCTTAGATTGTCTTTCTTCATAAACGACGGTGGAAATCTTCAGAAAATAAACCCTGTCGGCTTTTTTTTTATTTCCCATCCGACCATTCATCTGTGTGAAGGAGAGTGAAAGATGGGAGTGATGGAAATAACAAGAGAAGGTGAATAGAAAGAGGGATCGATGAGGCGTGAGGAGAGAAAGAAAACCCATTTCCTGTGTGAAATCTGACCTGTGCAGATGGATGAGATTAGTTTTTTTTTCTGATTGTCTTCTTCTTGTCCCTGCTGTCCATTAGTCTCTGTCTTTTTCCCCTTTGCTGTATTATATCGAGCCAGAAGCAGTATAAAATATCCCGACACATGTTTTGATGGATTGAGTAAGGAAAACAGCCCCAGTATGTGTATAGATGATAGTTACAGTTGTCAGTTCCCCTTACAGCTGCTATTGAGAATGATAGATAATGCTGTAGTGCCTATGATAGCTTATTTAAACACAGTATCAGTATTGTGAACATTGACCTTAAACAACATTAGTTTCCAAGCAAAGTTAATTACCGGCTGAATTGAAAGGACATTTTCTCCAGACTTGGAGGCACATCTAGTCCATATAATGAAATGTTAGCATGCTAATAGGATAAAATAAGGTAGAGAACATATTTACCCCATATAAGAGACATTTATCTTCTCATTTATTAAAACAAACATATTTCTTAAGCATGCATTTGATCTAATAACCAATGGGGAGCATTGTGTGTGTAGTGACGCAATATAACGGCTTGTAGTTTTAATATAGACAGGTGGGAAAGACATTCCTGCAAGAACTTACCTTACTGAGTTGTGGCTTTGCTTATTTGACAGGGTTAATGCCAACTGACAGCTGTCGAGGCCGGTGGCTTTAACTGATTATAGAGTTGGCTCGGACTCCACCGATTCAATTAAGTTGTTGCAAATGTACAGATAAATGACCAAATCCTGACACCGCTGATGAAGAATGAGTCGACATTTCCACACGAGTAATTGAATGATCCTATTTACATTTCACGTCGAGAAGCCTGGAGCTAATACAAAATAACATTTGCATGCGTAGGAGCCCTTAAATGCATGTAATTATGTTCCCTAACTGCTTCAATCCGTCTCAGATTTTTGCATTTGCAGTTGCAAAATGGGCTTTGTGGAAACTTTATAACCTTTAGGACCCCTGAGATTCCCAGTTTCCTAGTTGAGTTTATGTCCGTAATTCTAATTTACTTCATAATACATGTTTTCTATTTTGTGAATGATGGTCCCAGTTAAGATGAAAAGTCATTGTAAATGTTAGGATTAATTAAAGACTGAATAGGCGTCATTGGATGGATATTTAGTTCCCACCATTCTTGGTCAAATCAAGTTTTAAGACGACTGATACTTGGGGGTGACACTTTTTCCTCCTTATTTATTTAATCGCTGTGCACACACTGGCTTAAATTGTTGTGAAAGTCCGTCCTATGTGTATTTCAAATGCCTGACAATTTATTTTTGAATGATCTGATTTTAACTACAGTGTATTTACAGGGATGGATGTTGTTCAACACCTTTAATTCAAGTGGTCTCAAAAACAAAATCTAATTTGAACCATCGATGCATTTTGTAAGTTATATAAAATGTAATAAGTGTCTGATTTGTAAGGTTTCTTCTGTGACTGTAAACTCAGTTGAATTAAAAAAGTGCTGCTCTGGCAACATAATCCAGTCTGCTGGCTTTAAAAAAAAAAAAAAAAGATAATTGTTCTGTTTGGCAAAGACTGCGGACTGCAATCGTAAATCATTTGTTTGTCGTGTAGCTACTTTTCCAGCTGCAGCCCCGCGCCTCATAAATATCCAGCGTTTCCACCATAACTCTGTTTTTGTCTGGCTGAAAAATACCTGAGGGACAGAGCACTGTGAAAGATCTACTGCGAAAGCTAAAGGTCATAATAATAAAAAAGTATTAATGCAAAAATTGCGTGCGGCCTAAATCAAGAGTCGTATACCGTAAGAGGCAAAGACAGCAAATGTGTTGATAAACTATGCAATAAAGTGTAATCAAAAACTGCATCACATCCACAGCATCAGCCGTATATCAGCGTGATTAGAATCCAGTCGCACTTTTACAGACACACTTTTAAAAAGGTTAGCTGTCTCGTTTTTTTGGCTAGGAGCGTTCTTTACAGAAAGGACGAAGTTAAGAAGCGTGTCGTGTAATTTACCGGCATCCCAAACATTTTGTGTATCCTCTTTTTAAAGTTTAGAATATACAAAACGGTTTAAACGACGGGTTGTTTTATTCAGTTATTAAAATCATGACATTTGCTCTGAGGGAAAACATTCAAACTGGAGAGTCGGCGTTATTTAAAGCTGCTCAACCCGTTCAAATGATTTTTTTGTATTTAAACTTACATAAATAAAGATTTTATTTAATGCAATTTCAGTTTTTTTCCGTGTTGTAGAAGCAAAACACTTCACAACATCCACCCATCATGTCCTACTGAGGAAGTACCAACATGAACATACCCCAAATGATTCATACTCCTTGTATATTGAACATTTTGTACAAGCAAGAACACACCATCAATTTTGAATATAATTTTATGCCACATAGGCCCTTTTATAGCCACGAAAATGCGAAGAAAACAACCACACACATGTTAAATACAGGTAAATGTACAGAAACTGAGAGTGTGTGTGAGGAGTGTGAGAGGCAGTGTGAGCTGATGCGACCTTTTCCTCCTGTCCCGGGCCCCTTCTGTGTGTGTGTTTCGCGTGTCTGAGTGTGATTAATACTCCGGGAGATGCCGTGGCATTTTGATTTGGCGGGGGCGTGGCAGGGGGCCGCGCTGACTCAGCACCGGCGTAAATCCACCCCCCCGGTGCCGGGGCTGACGGAGTGATGAACAACACCGCTGACCCTGACCGCGCAGCCAAAATGAAGGGAAACGCAGAAATGCAAAGTCAGTTTATTGTACGGCTGGGGATGTGTAGCATCTTTTACAGTGTTCACCACAAATGACACAAAACTGACTTTTTAGAAATAAAAGATAAAGCATCTTGACGTTTGGACGAGTGCAACTACAAACAGAGACGTTGAACGACATATTTCAAAGATGTCATTCAATATTTCTATGGCAGCTTGGATTTTTGTCTTTAGATGGGTTCAGGTTGTGGGTTTTTATGTTTATTTTTCTGGCTTATTTGTGGGTGTTCTGATGGTTGCAGTGTCCAATTTGTCCCAATAGGTGTTACTACTCAGTAGTTCTTGTTTCAATGATAAAAGTCGGTTTTGTGTGGCTACAATAGCGTGTTTGAAGCCTCCGCCGATACCTAAAGGCAAAAACAAGCCTGCAAATTGCAAAAACAAGGATATTAATGGTATAATTATTTACATTAAAGTGCTTGGTGGTGCACCTGGTGGTGCTGGTAGCATTAGCCACATTAGCTGAGCTCATGCCTCCAACCACAATCATCAAATGTCATTATCTGAATGCCTGAACAGTGCAAATTAAATTGGCCTTTAAAAACAGAAATACGAAGCCTGATGAAAAAGAACCTCGCTTGACGTGGTCCAGGATCCTGCTTTCCTTCATAAAGAAAGAAAAACAGAGCAATCTTTGTGAAAACTTCAGGCCTTTCAATGCTAACGGCGCAACGTCGGTAGCAACCAGTTGCTTAAAAAAAGAGCTGCCATCGGCTTTTCCTCGTCTTATTCCGCTCCCCTCAGCCACAGCAGCCTCTTTGTCAGTTTCCTGTGATTTATTAAAAGCTGCAGCAGAGAGAGATGGATCAATACCGTGTGAAAGAAAAATGAGTTTGTGTCAGGCCACGAGAAGAGAGGAATAAGAGTTCACTCTAAGTATAGGGAGCCGTGACACTGCTACAGATACTTTAGGTTTCATTTAGAAACTAACATGCATTATTAACTGCTAAAGCTACAGCTGCTAACTGCACAAACATGCACGAAAGACACAAAACTGGGATTTCGATATAAAAAGGAAATAGTAAAGAAAACTTTTGTGACCCTGTGAGCAGCATCCCTTCTGGGTGTTTTTCCCCGTTTGCATTCAGACTATGAATTGCAACATTGTGCCGATGTAATCGATGGCTGGCAGTTATTTGACAGCTTAATGTGTTTTGTTTCGCCCCGTTGGACGGAATCTCGGGATTGGACCTGTCACTTGAGAGCTGCAAACACCACTTTGTTTTTATTACTTTTTTCTGGTTCTGTGCTCGCTTATAAAATTACCCCTGCTCCTTCACAGCTTGTAGAACTGTAAAATGTGAAACATATCTACTTCGAATGGTCTATTTATTTGTGTTTTTTCACCTGTAAATATGAAGAAATCGCAGTTCGCTTTAGGAAATGAGGTTCACTTTAAATGTATAGAAACCTATGGATAAAAAGAACTTGCATTTTTGTGGAGCATGAACTGCTGATTAGGTGTTATTTTGCCAAAAAAACTAGAATTGCAAATGCCAAGTAGAGCCCATGCAGAATTTACTGAGAGGAAAAATTACATCAACAAATCAATAGTTCATTCTTTCTGGACAGAAAGAGCCTCGGCTGTGTTTCCTGCTTTCACCTCTCACACAAACTGTCCCGTATAATGACACAGTGCTTCTAACTGTGAGCATCTACCAGGCCGGGCTTCATCCAATGGGACTGCAGCTTTAGTTTGAGCATCTTCACAAGACTGACATGGCAAAAACGACAACTTAAGGCCACTGCTGATGGGGAAAACCAAAGGTAACACAACCAAATGTCAGATTTGATGTCTTAAATAAAGTTTCGGAACCGCATTTTGCAGATCCTAAAAGGTTTTTTGTTCTATAAAAAAAATCTCTACTTTGCTTTTTCATTTTCTGCCTATTTAGTTTTCTATTTAGTCTGTTAAGTGTACATCATATCTATTGATTAATTTTTTAAAATCCTTTTCTGGTGAATAGCTTTCCCCCTTTTGCAATGTTCATATTAAATGCAAGTTGGAAATTGTGCTAAACAGTGAAACTAAACCAAGAAACCAAAAAGCGAGTGA